CTAACAAGCTTGCGGAGGCACCTGTTATCTGTTATGTAAGTCCCCTTGGCTGGGAGTTGGGGCTGGCCAGAGGCCGCAGGCGGTCTGAGGGTGGAATCTTTCCAGCCTGACGGAAGGGCGGAGCTTTAGGTCTCCATGGAGACGGCTTCTCCTAGCAACCTGGAGGGCGTTGAGCTGAGCCGCTGGCGCGATGGACGCGGAGAGCCTCCTGCTGTCACTGGAACTGGCGTCCGGCAGTGGGCAGGGCCTCAGCCCCGACCGTCGGGCCTCGCTGCTCACTTCTCTTATGCTGGTTAAGCGCGACTACCGCTACGATCGGGTGCTCTTCTGGGGCCGCATCCTGGGCCTCGTAGCCGATTACTACATCGCTCAGGGCCTGAATGAGGACCAGCTTGCACCGCGCAAGACTCTGTACAGGTGGAGGCCGCAGGTCTATACTGAAGGGAGGGCCACTGGGGGGCCACGAAGGATGGGAAAGTGGTAGAAATCGAAATGGGCGGGGCCTACGGGTCCAGGAAGCCGGTGGATGGGACCTGAGGAGGGAATGAGGGCGGGCCCGAGGGGCGGGGCTGGGTACCTCAGAACCGAGTGGAGCCTAAGGGGACGAATTGGTGGGCTAGGTCTGAGAGGGCGGGGCCCTAGGAGGGCAGTTCTCAAGGGGATGTAAGAGAAACTTAAGAGGCTTGTGGGTTTACAATAGAAGCAGTGCCAGGGACCGAGGCGGAGCAAGGTGAAAGTTCCTGGAGACTGGAGACTGGAGATCTGGAGTAGGAGCCAGGTGCAAACCTGGTGCGGGCCTGGCTTTTCGGAAAGTTCACTTTCGAGGCCCCGGGGGGGCTGGTGTGATGCTGGTTGGAAGCGGGTCCAGAAGCATCTTCGCGGAGGTGTTGGCTGACATCAGGAGGCTCTCTAGGAATTAGTGAAGGAATGCAGAATGGGAGAGAAGTGATTTAGAACTGGGGAAATTCCCTGGACACTACTATACAGGACCATCTAGCGGCTTTTTTACTACCCCCAGCGTTGATGGGGCGCTCACCACCACCTTACAAAGTAGTCCATCAGGCACAGGGCATTGGAGACTTCATTTATCAACCCAACACTGGTTGGATGCATCCTGTGCTAGACTTGGGGTTACAAAGACAGCTAAGATTCACCCCGTCTCCAAGTTAGTCGCATCCTAGGGAGGGAGACTGATGTATAACCAAGCAATTACAGCAAAATGTTAAAATTAGTACAGGTGTACACAAAGCAGGACCAAGGTGGGCATTCTCCTAGAGAGCAATTAAATATGATTACTAAGGGTATAACTTCTTTACAATCTGAAAGATGAACAGGAGTTCTCCAGGAAGGTGTGGGGAAAAGGCTTGCCGGTTAGAGGGAACAGTTCTGCAAACTTGTTGGTTGGAGCTGGCTTGGAGTGTTTGAGAGAACAGTAGATAGGTAACCATAATAGTAGCAGCAGAGGGTGTTATGTAGAACAGGTTGGAGAAGCAGGGGGGTTGAACTTTGTCCATAAGCTATGGGGAGCCGTGGCAGGGCTATTAGCAAGGAGAGCCTGCTCAGATCTGAGTCGGCAAGATGGCCAGAGTGGGTGAGCATTTAGAAATCTGTTGCAGTGTCCAGAAGAGGGGGACTGAAAAGAGGAGGTAGCTGAGGGAATTGAGAGGGGATGGAGTTTTAAGTGGTAAACTGTCAAGATCTGTGACTGAATTCGGGGGGGGAGGTGAAGAAGAAGTCAAGGCTGACCTCTCCTTCCAGCTTAGGCAGCTGGATAAGTGCTGGTACCACCCACTAGGTGAGCATTCAGGAAGCGGGACAAATTCAGGAAGGAGAGAAGATCCGGTGTGAGGTGACTGGGAGGCAGGGTGGTAAGGAGGCATATTAAAGTACAGATCTGGAGTCCAGAAGAAAAATTTGAACTGAAGATAGAGAGTATTCTATAAGGTTTTATTTCTTTAGCACTTCCTATGTGCCAAGTATTGACCTAGGCATCAGGAATTCAGTGGTAAATGAGACAAAGTCCTTGTCTTCATGTAATTTATATTATAGTGTGTGTGGAGGAGGAGGGGAGATAGCCAATAAATAAACATACACATATACTGCATGTCAAGTGGTATGGGGGATAGAGAATACAGGATGGGTGATATTTTAAATAGGGTGGTCAGGAATGGCCTCTGATAAGGTAACATTTGAGAAGAGACCTGAAGCAACTGAGTGAGCTGTGTATTTATTTGGGGGAAAAGAATTCCAGGCAAGTGCAAAGGCTGTGAGGCAGGTGTGTGCTTAGTGTGTTTGTGGAACCTCATAGAGGCTAGTGTGGCTGGAGAGTGAGTGAGTGAGGGGGACATTGTAGGACATGAGGTCAGAAAGGTAAGGGGCCAGAGACAATCATGCATGGCCTTGTGGGGCATTGTAAGGACTTGATTCAATGGGAAGTCACTGAAAGGTTCTTCACAGAGCGGTGATCTGGCTTAGGTTTTAATAATTGAGTGAGGACAAGACTGAATGGGGAGTGAATATGGAAGTGGGGAGACCAGTTAGGAAGTTACTGCAGTATCAAGGCAAGAGTAGACAGTGGCTTAGACCAGGGGGAAGCAGTGGAGGTTATGAGAGGTGGTTGATTGGATTCTGGATTCCTAGTCAATAGCTAGGGCTCTGGGGGTCAGGTGGGTGGGATTACAGAGAAAAAAGAGGGGTGAGAATAGATCCCTGGCAATACTTGAAGCACCGGAGGAGAGAGAAGGAAATATCAAAGGAAGTAGAAATGGAAATGCATTTGTTGGCATGGGTGACCGCCTCCTAAGCAGTTTCTTGGGGCGATAGAGGCAGGAATCTTGGAGCATTGGACAAAGAGTGAAAACGAGGGGGAAGGAGGGCTCCTGTGGGGCAAATTGTTCAGAGATTATTGTTCAGAGTTGGGGCAGAGGAAGGAGGGTCAGGAGAAGGGCATTTTGTAGAGAGACATGGTTTTGAGGGCTATTGGTTTAGAAAGCTGAGAAGTTTTTACGTTGAAAAGGTGCCAGTAGAGAGTGAAGGGAGGAAAGATGAGCAGGGTTCAGGCTATGGATGCAAGCCCTGAGTGGATTAGAGAGGACTGGGAGGACATCCTCTCCTGCTGGGCTGGCGAGTGCCCAGAAGACCTCAAGGGAGGAGAGGTTCTTAAGATTGGCCCGGCTTTCCTGAGAAATGGGGGAAGATGCTTGTGCTGTGGGCTCAGTAGGCAGGCTGAGCATGAATTTGGGACCCACTAAAGCAGAGGCACCTGCAGTTGAGGAAAATTCAGCTTCTAGAACTCATCCAGAATCTTATAGTTCAGATATCTAGGAAGCAGCTCTTGGAATTTGGGCATACACAAAGCTTTTGACCTTTTAAAAAATAAAATAAAATTTGTATCACATAAGTGTGTGTGGGAGGGTGCACCACATGCACTTAGAGCTTCTAAGTGGGAAAGGTGTGACTCCCAGCAGCTTTTCTTGGATTTTACCCCTTGGGAGAATGAGAGAAGGGGTCACAGCAAGAAGCTCGAGTGAGAGCGGGTATTGGAAACCAGGGTAATGTGGGTGTTGTTGGCAGCCTGAACTGCATGGAGTGGAGCCTCTTGCCCCCTGCCACAGAGGAGATGATGGTGCAGACGTCAGTGGTGAAGGGCCGCTTCATGGGGGACCCCTCACATGAGTACGAACACACCGAGCTGCAGAAGGTGAAGGAGGGTGATAAGGTCTTCGAAGAAGAAGTAGTGGTGAGTGAAGGTGAGAGGAGGAGGAGGGCCTAAAGGAAGAGGACCTGGGCCATCCAAAACCCAGCCCAATGAAAATTATGGTGATAACATAATAACACACAGCTCTTGAATGACAGGGTGATGAGTGGATGGGCAGTTCTTACAGAGCCTGGCTCTGGGGCAGGGGCAAGGAAGAAGGGTCTGTACTATGCTCTGGAGTAAGGGCATGGGTATAGGCTCTCATATTTTTGTTTGTTTTCCTAGATAATACATCCATGTAGTTCAAAATTCAAATGTACAAAAAGTGAAGTGTCCCTCCCATCCCTGTCCTCCAGACACCCAGGTCCTCTTTCTGGGGGACAGTAATGTAATCGTTCTGCATGTGCGTGTCCAAATCTTGCTATTCAAAGTGCAGTCGGGATTAGAAGCATCTTCATGCCCTAGGAGTTAGGAATGCAGAATGGGGCATGGTGGTGGCGGGGGCAGGTGGAGGGTGGTAGCATCAGGATCTGCATTTTAGCACTTTCCAAGGGGATTCAAATACACATTAGGTATGAAAAGCTCTGCTTCCAGAGATATTTTATGTAAATACAAACCTCAGCAAATACCTTATCTGTATATATTCTACCTTAAAAATAAAACAAATGGCAGCATATTATACACACAGTTCTGCCAGTTGCTTATTTTACCTAACAATACATTTTGGAGATCTTTCTACATCAGTGCCTTGAAGAGCCTCCTCATTCTTTTTACCATTGTGTGAATGTATCATAATTTAACCAGTGTCTTATTCATGGAAATGAAAGTTTCCAAGTTTTAGCTCTGACAAACAGTGACATAATGAATGACCTCGTATATCCTTTCCAGTGTATGCAGTCTATTTGAAGGTTCAATCCTAGAAATGGAAAGCTAGATCCAAAAGTAAGAAGCCCAAGTTTTGAAACTAGACAAACCCAGAATTCAAAACACAGCTTCTGCACTTGAACCTAGGTGATGCCAAAAGTCTGGGTCCAAGTCTATGATGCCTCAGGTGCAATCCCCATCCCCTCCCACCTGACAAACTTAACCTCCCTTCGGTTTTATTTTCTGTAAAATCGGGATAATTATATTTATGTCTCAGCTTATGCAGATGAAATGAAGTGGCACATTTAAAGTCTCTGGCCTAGGCACTTATTAAATATTAGTTTCCATCTCTCTCTTTGTAAATAATTTTTGTCAGTAGTCCATGGGAAATATGTGGCTAAGTAACTCCAGGGGCCTCTGGTAACAGGTTCTCCCAGTCAGGTACTGCTTTTACCAAACATCTCTATGAAATCCTTTTGTTCAATGTTTCACTTGATATTGATTGTAAACAGATTTCATCTGCATAAAATGTTATAATATGGAATGATGCTTGGGAAACAGATTTCATCTGCATAAAATGTTATAATATGGAATGATGCTTAGGAAACAATGTTAAGTCAAAGAATAGGATATGAAACTATATAAACTATGACTATAATTTTGATTTAAATATATGCATAGAAAAAAGAATGGAAGGAAGTATGTTATACCAATTTGTTATCAGTGATTCTCTTTAGGAGGTGAGATTTTGAATAGTTTTAATTATCTTAGGTATGTTACAAAATATTTCTGAATACCCAAATATTCTACAGTGAGTATGATTGCTTTTATATTTTCAAAAGGCAAAATAAGCAACATTTAAATATGAGAATAGGATATTTCTGGAAGTGTACATAAGAAACCATTAGTTGTGGTTGCCCCCAGTGAGGGCAGTTGGGGGACCAGGGATGGGGTAAGATAGACTGATTTTTTTGGTAGTTTTAAATATTGCATCATTAGTATATATTACCAATTTAAAAAAGAAAAAAGAAAATCTTGATAGGAGTAAACAGAGGTCTTACCCAGCATGATTTTCCATGGACATGGCTTCTGCGCTATGGTGATTCAGAGGGCCTTGCACCAGGGGTGAGTGGGCACAGCACCCTGGCAAGATGGCTTGTCTCCTGTCTCCTCAGGTCCAGATCAAGGAAGAGACCCGCTTGGTGTCCATCATTGACCAGATCGACAAGGCTGTGGCTATCATCCCTCGAGGTGCCCTCTTTAAGACCCCTTTTGGACCTGTCCATGTCAATCGAACCTTTGAAGGTGAGTTCTGTGGGGCCTCTCTCAAGGGCAGGGGCCTGTCTCTTCCAAAGTAAAGTCAGACATGTGTCTAGGGGTCCTGAGGAAACACTCTCTGAGGAATAGCCGTGGCCACATCACTTGGGAGGATGTGTCCAATGGCCTAGCATTGGTGGTTGGCATGGGCTACCAAATCCCTGTACCCTGACTCTTTTCTGCCTGAGGGTGGGATAGCATTTGGCTGCCTGGGTCTCAGGGCTTTGAGTGGGTCTGGGCTCCCTGCCTTTTCCTACTTTCCTTCTCTTTGGTTTCTCCTCATTGCAAGATCTGGGCCAAGTTGGGGCTGAGGGAACACTACTCCCTTTTCTCTCTTCAGTTCTCTGTCAGTGGTTGACTAAGTCCTTTGCAAGCCCCTCCATGTGGTCCCCATGTATAAAGAAAGGGATCTGCGGGTTTCCCTTCTTACCTTCTACCTCTTTTTAGGACTGTCCTTGTCTGAAGCCAAGAAGCTCAGTTCCTACTTCCACTTCAGGGAGCCTGTTGAGCTGAAGAATAAAACCTTGCTTGAGAAGGCTGCTTTAGACCCCTCCCTGGACTTCATGGACTCCTTGGAGCATGACATCCCCAAAGGTAATAGCCTATTACTTTGAAGACATTGGATCTGCCCCCAGGTCAAAGCAGTGGGCTCTGCCACCTACCTTTCTCCTCTGAGAGTAAAACCAAGGGAGTGAGTGGGAATTGGTGGTTCACCAGGGTCCTTGAGGGTAGAGTTTCCCCAGCTCATAGTAAACAGTCAGTAAATGTTTGTGGATAAAAGGATTGTATTTCACATGCTTCCGCAGACAGGAGATCTTTCAGTGTCTTTTGATTTTCATATCAATCTTGAATGGAGGCAGGTTGAGAATCTTCCCCTAAACATCTCTGAAAACATCCTTGAAAATACTAGTTAAACATTTATCTCAATTGTTAATTTGGGGTTAGGTCTAGTGCTTGGCACATAGCTGGTGCTCATTAATTGGGTGCTGATTGAATAGCAAACCACCTGCTAAGGAAATTAATTCTGCATGTTTGCTTCCTGCTGTGTGTGTGTGTGACTTTTAAATCTTAAAACATACAGCTTCAGAAGCCTTCCTGTGCTTCAGGGCCCACCTGGCCCAGGCACATACCCAGTTGTTGGTGGTGGAGTCACAGAGACCCCATTTCCTTTCCTTGAGCTGCATAGGTAGAAAAGAGCATGTCTTGGGAAGATATTCTTACTTGGATGTAGTTCCTCAGAACAGGTGCCAGGCTCTGGGCAGTCGGGGACAGACCCAAGGCACTGACTCAGCATCCCTGCCTCTT